TGACACTATCAAACCTTACCTACTTCATCATGAGTAGATTTTAAAATATCTGTTCTTCTGCTGTTAATGCCGCAGTTTCTTGAGCAGCTCCTGATCATTGGGGTGTGACAAGAATGAGTTTTGTGCCTAACTTTATTCAAAGATGGAAGATTGTTATTTATGATTATTTTCACTTTAAATTTATAGGGCAATTACTAGATTATTCCTCAGGCCTAGCTTTCATTATGGTGACTTTATTTCTCATGCTGGCTTTATTTTTGCTTATTTTTTCCTCCCTTGAAGCAGCCACTCAAGCAATGATTAAATAAACCAAACATAAGTAACATGTGCAGCGTAGATGCCAAAGCATAAGTAAAATCATATAATTACATTATCTGTGAATGATTATTTTTGCTTAGGTAAAGGAACTGGTAGGTACTTCCTTTTATAAATTCTTAATTGTATATTCTTCATGTTCTTGCTTATTACTGGCATGATCAGCTTAACAAACCCCAAATCATCCTTGTTGCATTGCATTCCTCTTCCCACCTGTAACAGGCAGGATGACTTATCCTTGGGAGCTGAAGGAACTCTTTAGTAACTAAAGGACAAAAATACTGACTGACTTGATTATTCTTTTCTGCAAAATGCAGAGGGCTTCATTTGTCTTAACTTCAGATCTGCTGTTGATACTGACAAAGTGCTCTTTCTGCTGGCAGTTCATGACTTGCATTTACTGTGGTCCTTTGCATACAATTATGCTGCGAAGTACCTTTGTAAGAGCTTCTATCAATAGTGTAACTGACTTGTTGTTGTTGACTTTTAACTCAATAACGCCTGATAGAATCTCATCATACAGCAAGTGAGCACCACTTATTTTTCATTTCCTTGCTCGTCCTCCTGTCTGCTGGTGTGTAGTGGTTTTAAGTAACAGTTCAACTACCTGTAGCTCAAAGTTCTGACTGTCCTGAATGTCCCTTGGAAATTATGTTACCTATACAGTAGAGTGTTATTTTTTCTAGCAAACCTGGAACCTGTCAAAATCCACAAACCCAACTTACCTGTACTGCTTTCTTTGTATCTTTTAACTGGGTGTTTCCAATTACATACCAAAACTGTCACCTGTGCGTATACAATATCTGTCATCCAGAAGGATCAGAGATAGATAAGATGATATTTAAGCTCCACATAGGTTTGCTTTGTTCATCAAAGGAATATACCTGTCTCTGGTGTGGAATACAGTAAGCATTTTTCAGCAAAACTTTTTGCCATTTTGCACACAGAATGTGATCGCCTATCTTTTTTAAAGCTAGTAGAGAAATTTAAGGAAAATATATCTGCCTTTGGTAAAAAGACTGAGACTTACTTTCGTCTCATCCTGAGGAGGACCCCTTTGAAAGGCAGAGGCACTAACAAAGGACATTATTTCCTTACTGACTGAGATCCGGCTGCTGTGAGTCCCACCTGGCTCCTGATGACCTCAGTAGCAGAGCTCCTATCCATTAACAATGGGAATGGAGTCGGGCTTTCAAAAGTCCAGACTTACCTCTGCAGTGCTTGAGGGTTGCGTCATTGTGCTACAGGCAAACTGAAAGATTTTAAGAAGAATCTGTGCATGGTACTTTTATCTGTATGACTGTGGTTAAGATCCCTCAAGCAAATAAAGTAGTCCATGTCAGTAGGATGAAAAGCTCTAGAGACTTGTCCCATGGGCTCTCCTGAAAGGGCGAGGCACTGCTTTAAAACATTTGAAAATAAGTCAGTTCTGGAAATTTTGAAATACAGTTCGGAACAAAAAAATGGGGAAAAAACAAGGTATTACTTGAAATACATTTCCCCTCGCTGTTACAGTAAACACAGAGTTCTTAACTACCCTTTCTTCCCCTGTGTAATTGAAAAATAATCCAAACATCAGAGCAAGAGCTTGTTTAAAAAATCTATTACTGTTACAGTAACAAAGTTAGAGTTACAACCAGAACTGTGAGCAAAAATAGATTCAGCTGGCCAAAACCTATCCCTTGAAACCCAGGGGAATTCTGTCCACTGATGATCTAGATTGAACTAAGTAGATCACAGATTCATTTCTTAGTGAGTATGTGACTGTATAAGAGCAATATAAAGCTTCAGAATGTCTCAGAAGCGTGTGCAGAATATGGATGGTTTAGATATTAGTTTATTCAACTCTTACTAATCTACTAATATCAATTATAACTAATTCTTCATATCTTATGTTTGAGCTATTGCATATCAAGATACAAATCAGATTAATTTACTTTGAGGGTATGTGACTTTTGATCTTGTGAATATCCTAAAACACTCTGCCTGTATAACTCATTTTCATTTCTGTGGATATCCTTTGCTAATTCTCTCCTTGACCTGCTTTCTCTTCCTTTTTTATTTCCCCAAGCAGAACTGGTTGGAAATCTTTCAAAATGTAAGTGAAAACCAAAGATTTTTCTGAGATGCACATGCTATCCATTTCCTGACCAGTTCCATGATAGGTGCCTTTCTTCTGAAGTGTAGTGATATTTCCTTTCCTCCCATTTTTTTAAGTGATTTCTTTTTTTCACCTTTCTGTGGTCTTCTGTTTTTCTTTGTCATCATCCCTGTTTGCAGTCAGTCCCTGTGGGATGCTAACCCCGTAGTAGTACACCTTCCCCCAGGACATTGCTTCTGTAATCCCCGGGCCTTTCATTCAATTTCTATGCTTTTTTGGAAGGATTGGATCTGGAGTAAGTCCCATGGGCAGAGCTTTTGAATCCAAATTATAGCCCCTTTATGTAAAAGCAAACACTAGAGACTCAAGAGCGGGGCAAATCAGGGATGTCTTTTTGGCACGTGGTTGCTCTGCTCCATGGAACTGTAGCTTTCCTTTTATTGATAGTCTCTCAATACAAACTAACAAATAGGAGTAGATCTAATAACATGAAAATGGGCATCTTGATTTAGATCCCATCTGTTAGAAGCCTCGTTCACTAATAGCCTAGTCAGTAGGAATCCCATTTGAGTTCCCACCTATTCTGTCCTGTGTTTGTTTCCTTGGAGCAAGAATTTATTGCTACTTTTTAATGGAAAATTAGTAGCATGTGATTTTTATTAAGCCACATTGCTCTGACTATTAGCTGCCTAGTAAAATCAAGTAACTTTAATTTTATGCTAATCTATGATAATTTTTAACATCTTTAAATGTAAATTTGCCCTAAAAATGAAGAATCTGTCACTTAAAATGCATCACATGCTTCCTCGTAATGACTGATCTTAAGAAGTTGGTTATAAATTCACCTTACAACTAGTTTAGTATGGATGATTTCTTCTTTTAAGCGTTTGGCATCCTCTAATGACAACCCCTGCAGTGGCAAACCATCACAGAGTAAATGCAGCTGGCTTGCTGCACAATCATGAATGACATTGCATTTAGTTATTAATAATTGAAGGAGCTTTGTGTATTCCTTCTGGGTTCTGTATATAATTTATGGATCATAAAGCTACTCAAAAATCTAGGGGAAAATAATTTTGTTGAGCAAAAGAGGTTGGCAAGAGGCTTCCTTTGCTAATAACTGGGCCTTCTATTATATACGTTTCTTTGAAAATACTGTAAATAAGAACATTTGGAATGACTGATTAATTTGCTACCTTCTAGTGTTGTCCTGTCGCTGGTTCACAAAAGCCTGTTTCTTATTTCAGCAAGTTCTACAGACAAGAGCATTTAGATGAATAGGAACTGTGGAATTAGATACATCACTCTTACATTTTTCACCTTTCAGCCTTACCTTTCAGAAATGGATAATACTCTGCTGTTTCTTCTGTAAAGAAACCAGATGTGAGGTCCATTCCCTGAAACATAAAGCACTTTCCCATTTTTTAAGTAGAAGAGCAGTAATACTGTAGACATGCCACTGTGACATTCCTCTTAAGAAGTACATTCAGTGCATGTGTTTAAGAAAAGGTTTTAATCCAACACTGCTGTGAGTGCACAAAAGCAGTGTAGTGATAGCACGAAGATGGCAAGACTAGATTTTAAAGCAGTTTATCCTGTGATAGTTTAAACAGTCTTGCTTATTTCAGTTTTTTTTTAACTGCTAGAGGGGTTTGCGGCTGGTGAACTGGCGGGTGGCAATGATGATGCCTTTACTCAATGACGAGCATCCTTCTCCCTTTTTTTCAGCAGAAAAAAAAGCGCAGGGTCAGTCCCTTCTTTAACAGAGTTGGAATTACTGTATTCTGTATTGTAAAGTCAGTGGCAATGCTCTAGTATTTTCCAGTGCAGAAGAGGAAACTTAGTTTTTAAATATATCATGTTGCAGTAGTTCCCACAGCACCGAGTGCCGTAAAACCAAAGGGCAAAATGACAACTTTTAGAGCAAAACCAGATTTTTTTTTTCCTACTGTTTGTTTTTAAACACGTTTTAATACTTTGTTGGCAGCTAGTGGCTTAAGATTATATTGCTTTTAAGATTATTCATAAACTGATCACAATCAGAAATGTGACTGGACTGCTACGTGGGTGCTATACTTAGTTGCTCCCTCTGTCGGAAAGAGTCCTAGCTGGAAAAGAGCCTTTGAGAGGGGGCAAAGAAGTACTCCAGAAAGCTAGTGTCTCTTCCCCGCATTTTTGATAGTATCATTTTATATGAAAAAGGGGAGAGGATATTTATGCAACTCATCAGAGTTTATTTACTATCCAGGCGGTAAAATAATGGGGATTTTTTCTTTTTAATCTTTTTTTTGAAGTGTAAAGTATTAGTTGAAACATAAATCAGGACTGTTCAGACATCGCTTATTTGTGCCCATCCCCTGCTTGCTCCTGTCTCTTGTGCTGTTATCTGTCTTTTGGCTTGTTTTATGTGTGGAGTCCAATCCACAAGAAATTTGAGTCAGGCTTTGAAACCGGTCTGCATGGACACTACTTTGATAGTCATAATTTTAGATTATCTGTCAGTTGGCTTTTCTTCATCATCTTTTGCACTGAAGCAGGATCACATCTCTGTGGCTTCTAAGACTGCTTCAATTTGTTTTTACAGGAATGGAATAACAAACTGCCGGATGCGGACAGAAAGCGAACAGTCCTGTGGCTCTCCAGTTGTTAGCGGTGACCCAAAGGAGGATCACAACTACAGCAGTGCCAAATCTTCCAACCACAGGAGCACATCACCTGCTAGTGACTCCGTTTCCTCTTCCTCTGCTGACGACCAGTATGAATTTGCAACTAAAGGTAGCCAAGACAGCAGTGAAGGAAGTGAGGTTAGCTTCCAGAGCCACGAGAGCCATAGTGAAACAGAAGAGGAGGACAAAAAGCAAAATCAGAAGGAGACCAAGGATTCTTTAGCTGACAGTGGGTATGCGTCCCAGCACAAGAAAAGGCAACATTTAATGAAGGCGAAAAAAGTACCAAGTGACACGCTGCCTCTTAAAAAGAGACGTACAGAAAAGCCCCCTGAGAGTGACGATGAGGAGATGAAAGAAGCAGCAGGATCGCTCCTGCATTTAGCAGGAATTCGATCCTGTTTGAACAACATCACCAATCGGACGGCAAAGGGGCAGAAAGAGCAAAAGGAAACCACAAAAAATTAGAACAAATCAATGATTTGTTTGAACTTACGAAGTTTTGTTTCAGCACGTCAGGTGAATTCTAATGATTTGTGGCAATATCAGCAATTTTTTCCTTTTTTGTTTTTCTTTCTATTTGTTTTTGTTTTGTTTCTTTCTTTTTCTCTTTTTTTTTTTTTTTTGGACCCTTAAGATTTTTATTTTTAAAGGAGATTGAAGCCATAGAACTCATACTGACACTCAGCTAATTTACAAAAGCTTTTCATTACCTGAAGACAAAAAGTTAACAAAAAAAAAAAAAAAAGCCAAAATCGCCATTGCTTTCTCCGGCTTGTCAAAAATGCATGGTTGAATACGCAGTGACATCAACATTAATGTGATGGGAGTAAAATTGGGCACTTGGAAATCCCTCTTATACTAGAAGAGCTGTGCATAATTTAGTAATCATTCAGGCCTGGCCCTTAAGAATTGTTTTTAATGGCCTTATGATTGGGTTAGAAGTGAATGTGAATAAAGAGATTTGGGGGAAAGAGGAGGCACGTACTTCTCAACACCAAACCAAGAACCATCTAGTGGCACTTGGATACGTTGTGCCATAGAAGTCTTTGGACAGCCACTGGTGGCAACCGCGCAAACCGTAATGCACTTTTAGTGCTTCACGTACTATATGTGGCTCATAATGTGAAGACTGATAACTTTAAGTTTGGGGAAATTTGAACTATGTATGCAATGGGTTTCAGTGAAATAATGAGAAGAAATGGGGGGGGGCGCTGTTAGTAGCATCGTTAATCATTGAATTCTGTCTTCTATATTAAATTAAAAGAATGTTCAAAAAGCCATAAGCCCGAAGATTGGCACTGCGTGCAAAAAATAATAGTAATAGGGAAAAACAAGCTATGTCTTCTAAACTGCCTGAGTGAAAAGCAATCAAGTCTAAGAAATTACAGTAGATATTAAGGAAGGAAATACATCAGAATCATTTTCTGTGGATCAAATCCTTGATCTAACTGGGGAAACAAAGCTACAAAACCTGCCATTAGTAGTATTCTGTATTTTAAAAAAAAAGGAAAGTATATTGGTGAACAGTAAAATTCAGAAGTTCAACAAAAGAGCTCCTACACTGCCCTCAGAAATGAGTGTGCAGCTACCGTCAGTCAGGATTCATCTGTGCAAAAATGACAACAGATTTCCAGATTCAACCAGCGTAGCCAGCAGAAGAAATTTGATCCACATTGCATGGATTCCTTGGGGGGGGGGGGGGGGAAAACAAAAAAAAAAATTTTTTTTTTTATTTTTTTTATTCAAAGATGACAAAGTTCTTGTAAGGTAAATAATGTATTTAGCATGAAGCATGAATTATTTTCATATAAATATAGAAAATAGAGAAAAAGGCTATGCCTCTAATTTTTAAGCCCTTAGGCTTAGAGTTTGGTTTTTTGGGTTTTATTTTTTGTTTGTTTTGTTTTGTTTTTGTTTTGGTTCTTTTTCGTTGTTGTTGGGGTTTTTTTGAAGCAGGTGTTTAAGGTTTAACCTTCTTCAGGGACAAACACTGACTGTTGGGGAACTTACTCTGCAATATTAAAAAATAAAATCTTCATGCTCTGGTAGGGCTTGGATGGTTGAATTATACTGCCTTGTCTGCACATTCAGCCCCCCTCTCCCTACTTCTGTTTAAAAAAAGAAAAAAAAAAAAAGAAAAAAAAGTAAAAGTGTGTCCTTTCTTCGTCTGTACATGTGTAACATGACGCAATAATCTGAGGGCAAATTTAGTAGTGAGTGTGTATGACAGAATCAAGAGAATAATGGGAGGTTAATTGAGGAAAACTCTCTGATTTGATTCAGGAATAAGTAGACAAGAAAATAGCTTTGCTAATTTGCCATGAGAAAATGAAGTTAGTAAAGAGCCTTACTGAAGTGTCCAGAGAAAAAACAGTGTTACAGAGAGTATGATTCAGGTATAGTGCCACTCTCCTGGTAATGACGACTATTAGATTGGAGATCCCTACAGCAGAGTGAAGCTGTGAAATAAATAAGACAGTCTCTCTCACCTGGATTCATGAATTTGGCATGAAAAATTCTACACTTAGAATATCCTAGGGGCAAGAAGAAAATCCCAGGAACCAACTACTTAACAGAACAAAATGGTCTGTTTCTTAAAAAGAATATAGGTTTATATTTTTCCCTAACAACTGTTTCAGGCAGCAGTTTCACCAAGATGGATCTAGTTTATGAAGAGTGAGTTAGAGAAGGGTTTGACTTCCCACTCAGTGGAGTGAACTAAAAATTGCATTTGGAGATGCCCGTGGAGCGTGTTGCTTTAGGAAGCTGAAGGACTGACGGGCGGGCTGCTCTGGACCTGTTCTTGTGCTCCACAAGCATTTTGTCCTGTAAAGGACAGGGCCGCCCTGGGGGCAGCCCAGCAAAACGGTGCTTCTCCTCCTGTCTCCCCCAGCGTGTCCTGGGATCCAGGAGCTGCCTGACAGCTGCCGGAGCCCCGCACAACTGCCAGCTATGCAGACAAGGAAGGAGAGAGCCAAGGATGGTGCAAGGCACAGCTCTGCGCTCCCCTCTGTTTACTGGGGCCAATGCATGCAGGGTTGATGCCCAGCGTTAGTTAAGTCAGGAGTACGTGGATACTAACGTTTGCTGGCTGCCTGCTGCCCTTAAGATAAAGTTGGGGAAGACAGGAGGGACCGGGCCCTTGGACAGGTAGCACAGAGATGAATGAGCCATAGCTTTTCCCTTGTGTGATTGGACTGGGATAATCGGCTTCTGCCCAGATCCACGCTCCCTACAGCCAGAGTCCACGGGCAGTGAACCACACAACCCCTGCACAAGGAAACTTGGTCCTTCATCTTTTTACGGACTTCGGGGAGAGCCATTTGAAATATAAAATACTACAGTATCAGTTTGCCACCACTTTTTTTCATTAATGCATAGTTGTATTTTGGTTCTTTTTCGTTGTTGTTGGGGTTTTTTTGAAGCAGGTGTTTAAGGTTTAACCTTCTTCAGGGACAAACACTGACTGTTGGGGAACTTACTCTGCAATATTAAAAAATAAAATCTTCATGCTCTGGTAGGGCTTGGATGGTTGAATTATACTGCCTTGTCTGCACATTCAGCCCCCCTCTCCCTACTTCTGTTTAAAAAAAGAAAAAAAAAAAAAGAAAAAAAAGTAAAAGTGTGTCCTTTCTTCGTCTGTACATGTGTAACATGACGCAATAATCTGAGGGCAAATTTAGTAGTGAGTGTGTATGACAGAATCAAGAGAATAATGGGAGGTTAATTGAGGAAAACTCTCTGATTTGATTCAGGAATAAGTAGACAAGAAAATAGCTTTGCTAATTTGCCATGAGAAAATGAAGTTAGTAAAGAGCCTTACTGAAGTGTCCAGAGAAAAAACAGTGTTACAGAGAGTATGATTCAGGTATAGTGCCACTCTCCTGGTAATGACGACTATTAGATTGGAGATCCCTACAGCAGAGTGAAGCTGTGAAATAAATAAGACAGTCTCTCTCACCTGGATTCATGAATTTGGCATGAAAAATTCTACACTTAGAATATCCTAGGGGCAAGAAGAAAATCCCAGGAACCAACTACTTAACAGAACAAAATGGTCTGTTTCTTAAAAAGAATATAGGTTTATATTTTTCCCTAACAACTGTTTCAGGCAGCAGTTTCACCAAGATGGATCTAGTTTATGAAGAGTGAGTTAGAGAAGGGTTTGACTTCCCACTCAGTGGAGTGAACTAAAAATTGCATTTGGAGATGCCCGTGGAGCGTGTTGCTTTAGGAAGCTGAAGGACTGACGGGCGGGCTGCTCTGGACCTGTTCTTGTGCTCCACAAGCATTTTGTCCTGTAAAGGACAGGGCCGCCCTGGGGGCAGCCCAGCAAAACGGTGCTTCTCCTCCTGTCTCACCCAGCGTGTCCTGGGATCCAGGAGCTGCCTGACAGCTGCCGGAGCCCCGCACAACTGCCAGCTATGCAGACAAGGAAGGAGAGAGCCAAGGATGGTGCAAGGCACAGCTCTGCGCTCCCCTCTGTTTACTGGGGCCAATGCATGCAGGGTTGATGCCCAGCGTTAGTTAAGTCAGGAGTACGTGGATACTAACGTTTGCTGGCTGCCTGCTGCCCTTAAGATAAAGTTGGGGAAGACAGGAGGGACCGGGCCCTTGGACAGGTAGCACAGAGATGAATGAGCCATAGCTTTTCCCTTGTGTGATTGGACTGGGATAATCGGCTTCTGCCCAGATCCACGCTCCCTACAGCCAGAGTCCACGGGCAGTGAACCACACAACCCCTGCACAAGGAAACTTGGTCCTTCATCTTTTTACGGACTTCGGGGAGAGCCATTTGAAATATAAAATACTACAGTATCAGTTTGCCACCACTTTTTTTCATTAATGCATAGTTGTACCAGCTCAGGAGTGGTTTAATATCTATCAAAAAGCAACACTGAAAAGTCAGATTTAGTGGCAGAAAATACACTCAAACCATGGCTCAGCCATCTCTGTCCTGCAGAGAAAGTGATGTGGTTGTGTGCTGGTGGCCAGATGCTGTCCACAGTCACGACACTAATTCCAGAGCAGCTTCACTGACCGCAGTGTGTCAGTGCAAATCAGATCAGTCTCTGCTGAACAAGTACCATTCATTAATGTGGACTCTTGGTGGCTAAATATATAATTACCACTAGTATTACTCACTTTAGAAAAAAGTCATTTTGCATAAATATCTAATTAGGCAGGTTATCTTTATATATATATAAAAATATATATAAAATCTATCTAAGACTTCAACAACTCCTTTATATACTTGCTGGTAAACCTAAAATGTTGGCAAGCATCTATTTTCATGTAAAATTTGTTGCTCCTAGTCTGATCTGCTAAGGAGGTATTATTCGGTAGGAGTTTACAAAGTTGTGTTCAGGACCAGCAGTTTGGCTGAGGGCTAATGCCATCAACAGATTATTTCTGGAGTTTAAAAACAACTTGTCCTTATTGACCCTTACTCTGACTGTTGATGA